ATAAGACCCATAATCATGGATGTTTTAAAAAAATTGGATCAATAATTTTGGAAATATAGAAATATATTTTGAAGTACATTAAAACCAACAATTACTAATATTTAAAAATATTTTCTTGGCAACGTTTTTCAAGGACTACTGGAACAACCGGTGGATTTTTCTTTATTTTAAAGGACACGTAGATTAACAAATGTGATTTTTTCTAGGATATGTTTGAAAGGAGTCTCATCAAGGAATAAGAAAGGACTATTATTTTGAGGGATAATTATCGTGATTTTGAAGTTTCTTTGGTTTTTAGTTCTTATTAATTTTTAGAAATGGTGTGAAATACTATTAAATTGCCGATCACTGGATTTTTTTTTGGAATTTTAATGATTTCAATTTTTTGGATACTTTTGATGGATGATCGGATCAGCAATATTAGTTAGACATATTTTTGCAATGATATTGAGAAGAGTATTCTGGAATGTTCTAGCTATATTTTTGAAGGTTAATCCGACTAATAGTTGATTCTCCCGAAATAATATCTGAATCGTGGGTTTTTATGATATATGTCAGAAAAGAATTGAATTAAAATTTGATGCCTGGCATCTTTGAAATTTTAACGATTATATTTTGAAGCAGCATTGGACCAATTATCGTGTTTTTAAGAATATTTTTTGAAGGACATTCACCAAAAATTGTGGACTTTGAAAGAATGCTATATGAAGAACAATCAGACCACTAATTGTGGAATTAACAAAAAATAATTTATGGATTTGACCAATGTTCCTCCAGATATTGAGAAATATATTGGACCAATACCCGGGTATTTATACCCTACACCACATAGTGGAAAGAGTATTAGTCTTTGTGGTTTTGTTTGTAACATGGAGAAGGAAGCGAGATAGACCCATAGTTTTTCTTTCTGAGTCGATTTATGCATGTCAGTCTATCTGTCCGTCCATGTATTCTTGTGAACAAAATGCAGTTCGCATTTATAATCCGATTGAGATGAAATTTCGCAAACAATATTTATTTGGCCCAAGGACGAACCCTATTGGGTTTATTGGTGATAATCGGATCAGATATAGATATAGCTCCCATATATCTTCAATCGATTTGGGGTTAATTGTGCACCAAATGGCCAATATAAGTCCAAAGGACCTGTATTTCGATACATCCCACCGAATTCAGACTAGCAGCAAGTTAATCAATCAAATCAGTTCAGATATAGCTCTAGCTCCCATATATATGCTTCATCCGATTTGGAGTTTTAAGTCCCTCACATGCGTAATATCACATATTTGGTACCGGACATCAGATACTACTCCAAAATACATGTGTTGATCGAGATCGATTCAGATTCCCATATATATTTACCCGATATAATTAATTTAATTGTGCAGCAAATGGGTAATATCAGCTTTTTTCCAATTACGACTGAATTTATTCTATAAACCAGTACTTCAAATTTGGTGTAAATCGGTTCAGATATAACTATAGCTCCAATATATATGTTTCAACCGATTTGGGGTTTTAAGTCCACCACATGCGAAATATGAATACAACAAAGATTTTTGGTACCAGTTATCAGATACAGCCCAGATATACCACTTACAAATTTTATCAAGATCGGTACAGATTTGGATATAGATATACATCCCAAATATATTTTCAACCGATTTCGGGTTAATTGTGCACCAAATTTGTCAAAAAGGCCTGAATTTTGGTACATCCTACCCAATTCAGCGTAGAAGGAAGTACATCAAATTTGGAGAAAATTGGTTCAGGTATAGCTATAGCTCCCATATATATGTTTCATCCGATTTGGTGTATAAGTTCCTCACATATATATTCTTAGTCCGAATTCATGTTTATTGTGCAAATAATGGCTAATATCAGCCCAAATGGAGTGAATTTCGGGACGTACGTTTTCATTTTGTGCAACTCGGCTCCGATATGTGAATTTTTTAATATAACCCTTTTCCAATCAATGTCATGCACTCTATAGTAAACTATAAATGCTCTAAAGCCAAATGTTGATAGGTGGTATGATCTACTTAAAATTAATTCTTTTGTTATGGTAGCTCTACTAAATATGTATAGTTCCGTAGGGTAGCATATAGTGGTGTAGGGTATCACTGCCCGCCTTTTGACTTTTCTTGGACTTTTGGAAAACATATTTTATAATAAAATATATTTTTTTATTTTGAAAAATATTTTTAAGTCTTTTTTTGAAGTCGTAATTGTAAATTTTTTTCGGTTTCTGAGAATAATTTTTATTTTTATAATTTGGATTTGGATACATTGATTTTTTTCAATTTAATATCGAAATTCAGGAATCTTTCATATCCAAATTGCCGAAATAAAAAAAAAAAAAAACTAAACCTGAGAACATATCAGCTTGTTGTTGGAATTTAAAGAAAACACTAATAAACGAACTCTTATCTCTAAATCCCAAAGATCTCATCTTGCCCTCCATTTTTTTTTTTCGAATAATTTGTGACAACACTTTCCTTGGATCTATTCAATTTTCACAAATCTTCAATATTGCATTAGCATAATATGCCAGTTTAAACTGCGAAAAAAATACATACAAAACTAACAATCTCTATTACCTCCTCACATAGGAAAACAAATGCATTATCATTTTACTCCAGCAGTGTCACTACTTCCGAAGCAGAAAAAAGAAGAACAAAAAATTATGGGGAAAAAATCATAGTCATAATTTTATTCCTTGTTGTCCTTAGCATAGATTTCACTTGAGAAGAAGAAAAAACGAAGAAGAACAAATACAAAAGCAAAATACTTGACTAGTTCCGTAGATTTTTGTCCGGTATGATTCAATTCCATACGTTTATTTTGTGTGTGTGTTCGTGTGCTTGTATTTAAATTGCTGTTTAAATCAATTTGCTTGGCGTTGAAAGAATACCCAGTTCAGTTTGTTCTTAACCCTCTTTGCAGAAAGAGACAAAGCCAGAATATGGTAACTGCACAAAAGAAGAAGAAGAAAAAAACAAAAGCTTTTCAATTTACTTTTGACTATGAGAAGAAAAATGGACCAAGGAAAAAAAAAATAAAAATCATCTCGCCCAAGGAACGAATGAGGGCTGGAATGGGAAAAGGCGAAGAATGAAAAAAAAAAAAAAAAACACACGGTATGTACTCTTATGACAGACCATTCAAATTTCCGTATTATTTTTTTTTTTTCATTTTCTTCATTTTTCCTCTCCTGCCATTTTTCTTGAAGAGCCTTTTAAGAAATATGATGCTGGGGTTTCTTACATTTTTTTCCTTTTTTTGTTGTAGTTCCTGCCTTTTAAATATTGCAATGCCAGAAATATCCTTTTGCTTTATGGCTTAACACAGAATGAGGGGTGGGTGGGGGAAGGGAGAGAATTTAAAAAAAAATGGGTTTGGGTTGCTCCAATGATTTTTTTAAGGCACAAAAAATGGTTGTGAAGATAACAGGAAAAGGACTTGCATTAAACGAAGAATAAATTGAAGAGGCTGAAATCTTACTATCTTTCCCCCTTCCCCTTTTGCTGCCGCTGCCGGGGTAACCCAACCCTTCAGTTATTTGTCTTTATCTTGAAGCTTCTTGTCATCCTCGTCATCGGCATCATCCTCATCTGCTTTGCTCCAACAACAATTGTTTTGTTTGCATATATTTCTGGCGTTCTTGACGTCCATCTTGGGATTGGAAGGCTGGCCACATGGCTTTAGCATCGTTATGATCATCGTCATATTTTTTCTCTTCGTTTGGGAGATTTTTTTTGCTTTCTTAATATTGGTTTCAAGTATTTTAAGGAATTTGTATTGTACAAAAAAGGACCTTTTGTTATTGCAACAGCCAACCAGCCACGGAACAGTTTATTCAAGTGGTTGGAGAGAAGGCCAAGCTACAAGTAGCATGGCATCCCTTTCTCCAGCGGTGGCCAAAAAGGGTAAGAGCTCTACTCAGTTTTTTCTTCGTTTGGAGTTTTTTTTTCATTCTCTCTAAAGGATATGGCAAAAGGAAGCAAATATAGAATTTATATATATGAAAATTGCTCTAAGATTTTTATCCTTGGCAGCATGGAAGCAAACAACCAGCCATTATTATTTTTATTACTTATTTGCTTTTAATATATCAACCTTTCAAAGACAACGACAGCTCCCATCCAGGGCAGCTATTATTTCACTGCCATCGTCTTTTCTTTCGGCCAAAGACAAACAGCGGTATGTCAGTGCATTTAAGACCAAAAAAACGGATGTCGCCCGGAATCAGTTGTCGTTTAACTTTGAAATTTGAATATCAATAATTTTTTCTTGCCACAGCCAAGACGCTTGAGTTCCATTTGCAATGTGACCCTGAATGTTATTGGAAAAATTTTTGTCTCCATTCTTTTTTTCACTTGAAACAATGGCTGGCTGATGGATGGAGAGAGAAAAAAACTTGACTGACATTCTTTTCTTGATAAATATTTAAATTATTTTTCCATATAGCCACATTCCATTAGCCCAACTTCGTTGTTTTTTTTTTATCTGAAGAATGGGAGGAAATTTCCGGCCCACTCCCCACTTTTTCCAGGCCACTTGAAATGGAAATTTCCATAAAGTTGTTTTTCATATTTTTCTTTATTAGTGCCACGACTACCACCAAGTCGAGGTCTTAGTAGTCCGGGTAATCACTGTCAATGTACTTAGTGTCCATATATTTTGTTTTTCGTTTTTTCCTCTTCTCTTCTGCCATGCTAAGTAGTTGTGATTTTTCTTCGTCTGCTTCGCGGAGGAAAAAAAATAATACAACAATAACTTATGATCCTTATTCAATGTCCTTACATTGTTATTAATAATAAGCCATGCCACCAAGTTTGTAGATGTTTTTGGTTCTTGTTCTCATTTTTGCATCTTATTATTTTAGTTGTTTTTCTTCTTCTGGGGACTTTTTTTGGTGGACATTGGCTGGCCTTATTCATATTAATTTTGAAAGTTTTTAATGACGTGTTTTTTTTTTTTTTGGAGTTTTTTTTATTCTACTTTTTTTGTTGAGGATGATGAAAATCTTTTTAAATCCGACAATTTGTCTGGTATTTGAAATGGATTAAAAAGTGACAGGATTTGTGTTTTGAATAATGGGCGATTTTTGAAGAACAGGAAAGGGAAATTATACCATTTTTTAGTTGAAAAAGTGTGGATTCTGTAAGGGAGGCATTTTGTCATTTGTTGAGATTGCAAAATATCCGAAATTTGGCAAACAATTGTAAAAAAAAAATATTTTATAAAATTTCGAACTACTTATCAGAACTCACGGAGATACATTTTTTAAAAAATGTATCCACCAAGGAATGAAGTTTCTACTATCTCTGCAGTCGGCACGTAACGTAAATTTCTTTGAAAATCACAGTAGCAAGTTGCACCAGATATTACAAAGACCGCCATCTATATTTCAATTTTCCTCTTTCATTAAACAAATGGAAGATATAATGTGTGGCAGCCCCTCGAAAATTTTTAAAATCGCAAGTCTCTCAAAAATCGCGTTAGCAGGACTATAACAATTTAATGAGGCCACCTTGAGCAGAACTAAATCGAGCGCCATCTATACTTAAAACAATTTACTTGTGTTGTTATATACTATGTTATAATTTTTGAATTGAAAATGTTTTCCTTTTGAGAACTAGGCTTCTGCAAAGGTGGACGGAAAATGTAGTCAGAATCGAGGAAATGTACACTACCTATTGGTTGCGAAGGTACTTTTTAGAAATTCCTTTTATCAATACTTCAAATTAAAAAAAGAAACATATATTTAAGGGAAACTACAACGAGAACCATCTAAAGCACTATTGGCTTTATCAAATGTTCATATTAAAAATAAAAAATAATTTTTTCTGAGGGAAACTTCAACGAGCGCCATCTAAAGCACTATTGGCTTTATCAAATTTTACATAGACTGCTTTATGAGGGGACAATTTTCGGTCCTCTGTGATCACAGAAAAAAAGATTGTAGAGAAATATTCGGTTCCGAAATTCGATTTTATTACATGGAAGCTATGCAAAAATGTGGTCCCATATAAAACACTCGACTGCCGAAACAAATAACTACAGTTCACCTAACTCCAACCAAAAATCAATTGATGGAAAACAAGTCATTCGGGGCCAAATTCCGATGTATTTGCAAATTTGATTGTATATCGACAAAACCCAAGGAAAGTCTCCATTTGTCGAGTAGATAACTCAGATATAGTATTGGCGGCATTCCTAGATATTTAAATGACAAAGAACTAGAATCCCTACCAAAATTCGTAGTTTTGTAACAAATTTACATAGAACGCCATCTATATTTAATTTTTTATTTATGACACCTAGCAGTTAATACTTTTTATGTCTCCTTTTAAATAGCTTACCATAGGTGGCATAGACATATGCATCTAAATTTTTTTGCAAGCAGAAATTTCTGTGCATACTTTTAGGTTGTGGAGTTGTATCTCAAATTACACAATGTCTGAAAATATTACAGCAATTTCGCTGACCCTGAATGGTACCTTAGGTATAAAATTATTTGCAGTTTTAAATAATTAAAAGAAACTTCAATCAATTTCTTAATGATACTAACGTACTTATTATTTAGCCGAAAGCTCAAGCAGATGAGCATTTTTTCAATCCTGTTTTATTAACGCATTAAATTTTTTATAGATTTTCTGTCAATTTCACTCTTTACAATCTTCAACATGCTAAGGCCCGCAAGATGCCCGTTTCTTGGCGTAGTTTAAAAGAATACGCTTCAATTTTGAGATGTTAGAAATAACATCTAGCGCCATCTGTTTTTGAAACATTTGCTCGTTTCCGAAGGCCTACAACAGGCATTTTGTAGGCGGAATTTAAAAACAAAACGCTTTAATTTTCCAAAATTCGACATATTTTATCTTTTTTAAAATTGCCAACACCTATTCAATTCTTTATCTATTTTCGCCATTTTTGCATTAGCATTCACACGTTGAATGTATGAATGGTTGATTTTTTCATAGTGCATCCTCAAAATATGCAATATATTTTTGTAAATCTTTTTCATTTCCATATGGCTCATTGGCCCAAAACTTTCGAATATCCAAACATTTCCTATATTTTTATTATTTCCATTCCATTATACCTCATCCGAAAATAAATATTTTTTGTTGTTGTTGCGTTTTTTTTTTACAATTTGCTTGCAATTCAACATTATTTGAAATTTTTATCACACATTCTAAATGTGATGTGCCGGAGAAAAAAAACCTAAATAAAACATAACAATTATATTTACATTTTCTAATAAATATATTTAGAAATCTGGCTGCGTGCGTGCCATATATTCCTGTGCAATTTGTTGAACGATAAAATTCTATGGATTTTCATGAATACAACAAATGAATTTTTATTTTGGCATTTCGTGTGCTTGTGCAGAGTATGAGTGTGCCACAAAATGTTGCATGCACATGCATTTTTCGGGATGCGGCTAAGAAATTTATTTGCATTGAGTATGTGTTGTGGAAAACATACATATAAATTTGGGTGGCCATAACTAATACTCTCGCCCTATGTCGGGTGAGCGGGTCGAGGGGGGCTAGGGTGGTAAAACCCTGGAAATGTAGAAAAATGAAATGGGAATGTTGTGGTTTTGTTATTACGCGTAATTGGACATTTTGCGGCCGATATGACAATTTTGTGGTTCAACTCACACACACACTACCACGTTCATATGTAGATACATGGATGTGTGAATGTAGTGAGGAAATATTTTTGAAAATTTACTGGTATTTTCGAGTTATTGTTGTTGGTTGTTTTTTCTTCTTCTACTACATATTTTATATGAAATACGAAATCATCTAATCTGTTTGAAATTGTTGGCTAGATTATGTACCTGAAATGTGGTTAGCTGTAACCGTGAAAGAGGTATTAGATATAAAAATCTGCTGCATACTTTGTGGCAAGTGATTTTTGGAATTCAAATTTACAAAAGGTTTTTTTGTTTGTCTTGAGATTATTTGGAGTCCCAGACTTATGGTTTCTTGAAAATTTAGAAATATGCGATTTTTTATAAGCTTACCTGCAAAGAGAAGAACAAATAGAGGGGTTTATTAATAAAGGTTAAAATTGATAAAATATTAATTTAATAATTTATCATTATGTCTTTAGTTTTAAATGGAAATTAAATAATTCTATTTAAGTTTATTATTGCAATAAATATTCTGAATTAAAAAATGGATGGAATTGAATGGATAATATAAAAATACTTATGAACTGTTTTTGTATGACGAATTCGAAAGAAAAATACCTATTCCCCAATGTTTTCCGATTTTTTTATATTTATTTATAATAATAATGCTAAGAGAATTTGTGTTTTTTTACTATCGTATCGTCATATATAAATAGGCCTTGATGCTCTTTATTACATATATTTTATTTAAATGAAGACTTTTATTTTTTGAGTACCCTTCAGAGGTTACGAACATAGCTTGGGTTCTGAATTGTTCCAAATTTGCTTCCCGATTTGATTAATTGTTCCTTTTCGTATTTATTTTTGTCCACAACATGACCCACCAACCGCTTTAAATTAAAATACAAGAGAACTGAGACTACTTCGGTAATGTTGGTCCTTAGGGACTGACAAATTTAAAAAACAAAAAATGTCTTAACGTGGAGAATGGAAAGCAAGACAACCGGAAATATCCTGTTTCTTTGAAATTGACTTCTTACATGACCTCAATGAGAAGCTCCTGAAAGATGCCTGGATCTCACTCTTCAGAATGCCTGAATTAATTTACTAAATCAATCTGCCTATAATCTTGTAGGAGGAGACTATCTTGCCTTCAGCTCATCGGGAAACGACTTCTTCACGACTTCTGGTCTTCAACTCATCGGAAAGTACTGACTGACCTTTAGCTCGTCGAAAAAGATTCCCTGACCCCATAGTTCGTCAATGACAGGCCCCTGCGCTCGTCTATAGATACTCCCTGACCTTCAACTCGTCTGTAAGGACTGCTTGGCCGTCAGCTCGCTCGATTATAGAGACTGCCTGGCCCGTCAGCTCTCTCATATATATAGAGACTTCCTAGCGTCTATAAAACTCTTGTCCCGACTCGACTCTCTATAGAGACTCTTGTCTCTTCAGCTCTTCTATAGAGACTCCCTGGTCCGTCAACTCATCCATAGAGACTTCCTGGTCCGTCAACTCATCTATAGAGACTCACTGACCCGTCAACTCGTCTATAGAGGCTCACTGACCCGTCAACTCGTCTATAGAGGCTCACTGACCCGTCAACTCGTCTATGGAGACTCACTGACCCGTCAACTCGTCTATAGAGACTCACTGACCCGTCAACTCGTCTATAGAGACTCACTGACCTGTCAACTCGTCTATAGAGACTCACTGACCCGTCAACTCGTCTATAGGGACTCACTGACCCGTCAACTCGTCTATAGGGACTCACTGACCCGTCAACTCGTCTATAGGGACTCACTGACCCGTCAACTCGTCTATAGAGACTCGCTGGCCTTCAGCTCGTCTAAAGAGACTCGCTGGCCTTAAGCTCGTCTGTAGAGAATCGCTGGCATTCAGCTCGTCTATAGAGACTCGCTGGCATTCAGCTCGTCTATAGAGACTCGCTGGCATTCAGCTCGTCTATAGAGACTCGCTGGCCTTCAGCATTTTTGTGGCATAACTTTTACGGGTTCTATAAATACACGTTCGATTAAAACAATTGTAAGGAGGGCCTTAAAGTATGCTACAAAAATTGCTAAAACATAAATGTGAAAACTTACACTAATCTTGCGCTTATACGTGCTTAATTACCGATTGGAGCCTCAAATGTTTTGATACAAATTTAGTAGCCCCGAATCCTTTATCTTTTTTTTGACACATATAACAAGCACCTCTTTACCAACAGCGATTTTCTGTTTTCCTCTTCCACTCAATGTCAACAGATGACGCTCTGTAGAAATTTTGTACTCCATGAAAATTCTTTACTTAAGGTCCGATTACTCTTGATTTTAGAATAATTTCAAAGCGACATACTT